AGAGAGAGAGAGAGAGAGAGAGAGAGAGAGAAGGAATGAAATAGAAGGGGAAGAAAGGAAAGGAAAGGGGAGGAGAGGAAGAGGGAAAGGGGATCTTTTATTGTTTTCAATGCTACCGAGCCTTGCTTGGTAGAAACCCAACTATCAGGAAAATCAGTCCAGCCCACTCCTTACTCACCTTTACTCATTTTCACTGTATAAAGAAGTATAAAACATGGTCTCTGCCTTCAAGAAGCATGCAATTTTTGTTCAGTTTGTTTCATTTTTTAGGTGCTATATTGAGATATAATTCACAAACCACATCATTCCCCAAGTTAAAGCATGCCTTTCAGTGTTTTTTAGTCCAGTCACAGAATTGTGACATTATCACCACAGTCAGCTTTAGAACATTTCATCATCCCAGAAAGAAACACTCCAGCCAATTAGTAGGCACTCCTTATTTCCCTTCAAACCATCCCTGGTCCCCAGCCCTAGGCAATTTCCAGTCTATCTCTGTCTGTATACATTTGCCTGCCCTGGACAGTTCACATAAACACAATCACACAATATGTCTCAGTCACTTTCTTGTTGCAGGGACAAAATACCCAACACCTACAATTTAAAGGAGGAGAAATTTATCTGGGCTCACAGTTATCAAAGGTTTCAGCCCATAGTAGGCTGGCTCCAAGGCAGAGGGGCATAGCGAAAGGGAGACAGGCAGGTCCTGGCAGCAAGGAAGCAGAGAGAGGAGAAGGAGGAGCCAGGAAGAGAAATATACCCTTCCAGATCATTCCCCCAGTGATCCACTTCTTCCTTTCAGACCTACCCAGCTACAGCACATTCAGCCCTGAGCTCTTCATTGAAGAGTTTAGTGCCCCAGTGATCCAATCAGCTTCCAAAAGCCCAGCTTCTAAACATATAACCCCTTTGGAGAACATTTTAGATCTAAACCGTAGCACAATATGTGGTCTTTTGTGACTGATTTTTCTCACTTAGCAGGAAGGTTTGTGCTGCAGCACATATCAGTACTTCATTCCTTTTTGTACTGAATCATAGTATTCCAAGGTATAGATATACCACATTTACATTACCCAGAACCAACCATAGACATAGGCTCTTTCTACCTCTCAACCTCTTTGAAGAGTGCAGTTGCAAACATTCACGTACAAATGTTTGGGTGGATGTAACTTTGTTTTCTCTTGGGTATGTAACTAGACATGAAATTGTTGGGTCATATGGTGACTTTATGTACAGGTGTTTGAGAAATTTCTAGATTATTTTCCAAAATGGCTATGTCGTTTTAAGTTACCTTTAGCAATACAAAAGATTCTGATTTCTCCACTTTCTCATCAACACTGTGTCTTTTATTATCATTGTCCCGGTGAGTGTGGCATATCATTGTATTATAATTTATATTTCCAAATTAATAGAGATATTGAGCATCATCTCACGTGTCTCTGGGCATTTCTGTGTTCTTTTTGGAGAAATGGCTATTTAGATCTTGTTCCCATTTTTTAAATTAAATTTAAAATCTTCTTGGGCTGGGGATGTAGCTCAGGAGCACCACGCCTGCCAGGCAAGCACAAGGTCCTGAGTTTGATCCCTGGTACCAAAAAAATTAAAAAATAAAATAAAACCTTCTTTATAAGATTCTTGCTCCTAAAAAAATTTACAAAACCAAAGGGCATAGCTATTTTCTCTGTGATCCAGAACTGAAAAAAACCTACTCACTCAGTAGAGCAGAGGCTGGAGCTGCCCGACAAGGCTCACCCTTCATGAAGCACAAAGACTCCAGAAACTCAGGGCGGAGGGATGACACTAATGCAGGTTTGCAAGTTCTGTAAGAAGGCGGTGGTACCTCTATGCCCTCCTCAGAGAGCACAGACCTTCTACACAGATGGCATCTCAGTCCTTTTTAGGTAAATTCATAGTGCTGAAAATAATACAAGGCTCCAAAAATAACCTATTGCTAGGAGATTTCTTCCAACTGGGATTAAGTTCATCAGCTGTGGATTCCAGAAAATTGGAAATCAGCTGAAAGGTATGGTGGTGAAGTGGATGCCAAGGTCCTTTCCCAAGAATGGGCTTGAGACAGCACTAAATGTTGGAGCCTGAGATTGTTTCGCCTGGGCTAAGTGCTGGACGTTGTCTAATAGACTTAGTTGGCAGTGTGGGAGTACATGAAGCTGTACTGATTATCTTATGTGTCCTCTTAACTGATCAAGCCCTTTCAAAATGAGGTGTCTGAGACTTGGCATTGCATTAATAAAACTTCTGAGCCCCTGAAGGAATTACACCATCTAGCAGAAGCCCAGCTTGTGGGAAATGAAGGAATCCCAGCTCAACCTGACCATCAGGATCTCCTCTGGCTGAGTCTGAGCAGAATAAGAAATTGAAGAGGATAAATTTCAGACTTTCATTTCCTTGAACTATAACTCACAAAAGTAAGAGAATTTGATTGTGGAGATTAGAGCATTTGAACTTTGACTTGGTGAAGGAATTTAAGTCTTTGAATTTTAAATTCTCCCTGGGAATCCAACAGTGAGGAGGAATTTATATTTAATATATTTTATATTATTTGGGGATGTGCCCAAATTGTATGCATTTGATTATTGATTTGTCTTTGTGTAGTTTATAATTGAAAGCTCTTAGCAGTTCATTTCATTTCATTGAAGAACTTTATTTTTTTTTTTTGGTACCGGGGATCAAACTTGGGTCCTTGAGCTTGCCAGGCAGGCAACGGAACTGCTGAGCTAAATCCCCGGCCAATTGAAGAACTTTTGATGTGCTATGTTAGAAAATGTGTTTAGACATAATTTGGGGATGAGGAAGGGAGTTAGTTTTTAACCATGGGTACAGAGTGGTTTGGAATTTATTTAACTAGTGGACTATTATGACCCATTTCAGAACCTCCAGGGTACCTTGTCGTAAAGAGACCCCAGGAAAATACCAAAGATACAGACAGTGCCCAGGAAGTGGGGGAAGCAGCACTCTCTGGTTTAGTGTGGATCTCCGGCCACAAGAGGAGCCACACTCTTGGTTGGCTCTTGGCTCAATGACCAGACAGGGTTAAGCGTCCAGGAGTTGCTATGGAAAAATGCTTCTTACTTGTTCTTAATGTTTCCTTTCCTGTGATGTGTGGCATTTCTGATTCCCTGTCTCCTCACAAGTGGCTTTCTTGGGATAGCTACCACTAACTATCCCTGCCACCTAGTCTGTGAGTAATAAAGGTGGTGTTTTGATTTTTTTTTGGGGGGGGGTACACTTCCACTGGTTCTTTGTCCCTTGATTAATTAGTTCTGAGTGCAAAGCAGAAAAGAAACTCTCAAAAGAACAGAATCTTTAAATTGCATGGTAGTTTACAAGGTATATTCACATGTTTATGCATACAGTATGTAATACATAAGTACATATACACATATGAAGTTTATATATAAAATACAGAAACATTTACATATACAAAATTGTGTCATTTGCTATTCTAAACTTTTAGAACGCACGTCACTTGCCCTTTACCTTGGTTAGTCACGTGTAAGAAGTAAAAATAACCTTGGTTTCTCAAATTGAAGGCAAGGAATCTCCAAATTGAGAGGCATGAAAACCACCTAGAGTGCCTGCTAAAACACAGATGGTTGGGTCCCACCCTGAGTTTTGGATTCTGTAGCTTGGAGGTGTTACAGAGACTTTGCATTTTTAACAAATCCCCATAGTTTAAAAATCACAGAGTAGACAATAAGGGTATATCGATCATGCAGCCAAATATTTTTGTCCCTCACATTTTCCCTCTCATTTTCTGCAGTTTCAGTTACCCAAAGTCAACTGATATTCAAGAATATTAAACAGAAAACTCCGTTAAAAAATTCACAAATTGAGCCGGGCATGGTGGTGTATGCCTGTAATCCCAGCACTCAGGAGGCTGAAGCAGGAGGATTCCCAAGAGATCGAGGCCCACCTGGGCTATGCAGTGAGTCCAAGGCCAGCCTGAACTACACAGTGAGACCCTGTCTCAAAAAACAGAATCACAAATTGTAAATTGTACTCAGTACTAAGTAGTGTGATGAAATCTCATGTCATTCCACCACCCTCACCCCCACCAGGCATGTATCATCTCTTTGCCTAGCACATTCATCTGTATGTGCTACCCTCCCGTTAGTCACTTAGCAGCCATTGTGGTTATCAGATGGACTGATGTGGTATCACAGCACTTGTGTTCAAGGAGCCTTTACATCATATATGACCTAATGCTAGATCATAATTCCTAGACCATTTGCCTCTCTTCATCTCTTCACATGGGCATTGTTATCATTCACTTTACCACCAGGAGATGAAGAAAAGTGAGCACAATACCATACAATATTTTGAAAGAGAGAGACTGCACTGACATACTTTTATTACAGTATGTTGTTATAATTGCTCTATTTGATTACTAGTTATTGTTAATCTCTTACTATGCCTAATTTATGAATAAAGCTCTATCATATCTATGCATGGATAAGAAGAATATTTTCTATATGCAGTGCATGCAGTTTCAGCATCTACTGGGGAACATATCTAGTAGATAAGGGGGACTACTAAGCTTCTATTTCATACTTTGAGATCCTCTTTACTGATCCCAGCTTATGTTGTAGTGACTAGAGCCGAGCTCAGAATTCATGGAGGCCAGCACTAGTTGACTCCACTTGCAAGCAACTGAGAGAGTACTTGGATTCCATGTGTGTAGTTGGGAGTAGACAATGAACACTTGTCAGGTGTCGTGTTGAATGGCAGCCTTCTCATTCCACAGTTCCTATAAAGCTCTGCCAAACAAAAAAATGATGCCAGAATGTCTGACCACCAGGGCCACAGATCTATATATCTCTACCCTTTCAGAGAGCAGCTTCTGAGTCTCCCTTCCTGGTTGCTCATCAAAAGCTAGATATAGAAACAAGAAGAAAAGGTACATGGCGAGACACTGAATGACTGCCAATTCCACTACAAGTTTGGACAATACCTTTGTTGATGCATAAGACATTCTTGTTATAACAAGCATTATATCAATTAGATTAAAGGCAATAAATCTCTGCTTCAAGTGACATGTGGCTGGGGTCATGTTTCTTGCTTTCAGTACACATATGAAGAGGAAAAGTGAAACAGCTCACTTTGTGAGGGAGGTACTGGGTCTGAAACTAAGACACAAAGGGACAAGACCCAGAAAATATAAAACAAGTACTTGAGGGAATGAAATCTTGATATGAATGAAGAGCTAGTTATCAAGACCCCAAACATGTTTGGTGAGTTGAAGAATCTGTGCTCTGAGACTTGCACATCCACACCTCTCTCAGGAGAGATTCTTTGTGCTTCATGAGTATATGTATTTCGACATGATGCTGCCGTCCTGTCCACAGCTGATTAGATCAGGGGCAGTATCTGATACAAATAGTCTGGGCTATGCAAGCACAAGATTCTTGATAAGGAAGGCTTATCAGATCTTCTGGGTGTTCAGAAGTGGAAAGTGCAGCTGATGAGATAATGTAGAACTGCAAGACACAGAGAAAAGACAACAAGGAGAAGTCATGAACAGAAAGAAACCACAGGCAAAAGAATGAGGAAGAGCAGAAAAGGGAGAAGAAGAGGTAGAGGAGGGAGAATAGTTTCGCGGCAGATGGGCCCAGTGTCATTCCCATTTTACAGCTGCCATGGTCACCTCCTTGGGTACAAACAGTAGTACCCTCTCTCGAATCCCTCCCTGGGCCCTGCAGAAGCTCTTCTTGTCCTTAACAATAAACTCCCATGAACCAAGATAACCCAAGCATGTTTCTAGGTCTTGCAAACATAGCTTTGTTAATAGAAACAGACACAAGAAGAGAATGTTACATCTTGGACCCAAGCCCAAAAGATGAAATGGAAGAGGAGTAAATTGTGATTTGCTTCATTTCCATTAAAAGCACTAAACAGGTCTGAATGGACAGTAGATCATAATGGATTTTAGGTGTCCACAGACTGCGAGAAGCTAGCAACACAGTGTATCTGGTGGAAAAGTAAACTCAGCCTTCACTTGCCTCCACAATAGTTTAGTGTGGGAGAAGAGGGAGAAGGAAAGGGAAATGACTTCTGCTTGTCTTGAACAAATATTTGGATTAATGTGACCTCTTTGGGGTCCCAGACTTTATGGAGACAAGAGCCAACACTTTATGGAGATCTTAAGAAGCACCAAGGATGGTTGGTGGTGTCGCAGATCAGGTGCCTTCCCTGATATGACCTAGATGTCCATGCACCTGCTACTGCATAAACCTTCATTCACTTTATTTGCTATAGTGTTTCACTCACTACACCTCATTTTATTTGTTCAATGACTGTGTTTTCTACCAAACTGTCCCATGAAGTTTCACAAAAACAATGACAAATCTTGTCTCGCTCTCTACTCTGTTCTTAGCTACTAGCATGGTATCAAGCAAAGTTGATTCTCTTGAAACATTTGTTGAGTGAGTGAACAAATTACATCACGTGAGCAATGGTGAAGTGAAGTGGGAACCTTATATTTGAAAAGAAGAAACTCAAGCAGCCTGGATTGTGGTTTTCAAATATCTGCAAGACTTTGAAGTGGAAGAGGGAGTAGGCTTATTAGGATTGCTCCAATGGACAGAATCATGACATGGTGGAGTAAGATAATCACCCTGGTGGCAGAGGCCTAAGCTCACCCATGAGCTCAAGTTGGACCCACCACTTAGACTTGGGTCATCACTGCATTCTTTCTAAACTCTGCTCCTGCTTCAACATACAAGGAACTATTGACTGTTGGGTAGTCATTGCTGGGAGATTATTAATTTGACCTCACCAAAACTCCCCAACATTTACAGGTGTTAAGGACAGAATGATTTATCTCAGAAAGCAGGGTTTTTTGTTCATGTCTGTGTAAATCTTCAAGCAGAGATGGGTAACCACCTGCTATGCATGCTGTGGTGAGAATTCTTGCATTGGGTAAGATGCTGGTCAGGATGACACTTAGCTCCATCAATTCTAATTAAAGTCAGTGTGTTTCAGTTGGGGTGTCAAGAATATAAAACCAAAGAAAAAAGTGATTTCTGCTTAATTCTGTGGCTCAATATGTGGCTTAATCTTACAGAGCCTCAATTGGCCCACCTTCTAAGTAGGAATACTGACACCTGCTCTTTTTTAATATTGCCAATGATCAAATGAGAGAATGTTCAGACTTTGAACATATGAAGTGCTCTATGAATTATTGCCTCTACTCTTGGGAAGAAAAGAAACACACAGGACACATCTCCTGATGCCTAGGCCAAGATTCTGTCTGTCTGAAACAAGTGTTTGTTCTCAAACCCCTGAGACAACTCAGAGATAGTTTGAGGCACTCTCTCTGTCCTTGCTTGGTCATAATTGGGCTGTTAACTTGTTTTTACAGTGGTGGTGATTTTACTTGCTGCATAAATGTCAGGTTCCACTTGACTAGAAGTTAACATATACTGTTTCTCCCCTTCCCTCGCAGCAACATCCTGTTAAATTATCCCTTTATGTGCACATTGATTTTTTTTTTTTTTTTTGCTTTTCAATGTTAAGTCCTAAAATAGCATATTTCCCCCAAACGCTTTACTGCTTTCAAGGCAATGAGAATGGTGCCTGGCATTGTGGGAGTTTAATGCAAATCACAGTGCAGTTGGCTGTGCTTCAAGATAACAAGAATGCCGCCAAATGAGTGTTTATCAAGGACAGCCTGACAACCCCAGGGGTCTAAATTACCTTATATTTGCAGCGGTTCATTCAGTCTCCTGCCACCTTTCTGCAAGCCAAATGGAGACAAGAGATTTATTTTATTGAGAGGAAAAACCAGGATACAAAACAATTAAGTGCCTTCACAAAGGCCACTCGGCTGGACCAGGATGGGTCCTGAGTTTAGTGAGTTTGGTTTCCTGTTGCCATAGTACACCTGCTGCTGAAGATTCTACCTTTCTCATAGGTTGATTCTACTCCCAAGGTGCTTTCCTGATCATGGCATAGAGGTCGCTCAACAGCCGGCCACCCTTGCTGGGAGAGGTTCTGACCTTGGTCATGGAAGAAGAAACCACAAGGGTAAGCTTATCCCAGTGCAACGTGAATGTTTTGCCCTAAAGCTTATGGGATATTGAGGGGCAAGGGCAGGAGGGAGGAGGAGGCCCTGAATGAAGTGCTTCTCCCTGTGTACACAGTGACTTAAAGTAGGTTCATTTCATTTGGATTTGACGAAAACCCAGTGAGATATAGATATATATGATGAGGCTGGTACTCTACTTTAAATCAGCTAGTGTCGGATGATTTATCCACGGTCATGCAGCTAGTAAATGTTAGAGCTAGCTATCTGAGAACTCTGGTCTGTAAGCAACACTGGGAGATTGTGTTTTGCTCTTAGATGAATCTCAAGCATTAACTCTCCATCACAAGGAGATGCTTAGAAAAAGAAGTCCCTTTTTGACCTCCCAAAAATAATACCATAGAGATCAACACTATCCATTATTCTTTTTCTGCCAAAGGCTAAACCTACATTATTAATAACAGGTTGGCTCACACATTTGCCTTCCCAGGGAAAGGTGTCTCCTCCCTGGATCTGGCTTTTCCAAGAGAATCCCAGAGACAGAAGCTGGGAATATTTGTTCTCAGCTTTAAAGATCAGCTAGAGAGCTCCTCGTGCTCAGAGGAAGAAGGACTTTCCCCAAAAGCACTGTAGCATGTCCCCACCTCCATTGCACTTCAATGGAGAGTCACTTCTCCCCAGCACCCCTTCATTACCACAGCAGCCAGCCTGCCAGCCCACACCTCTGGCCCTCTTAGCAAGCAGAGACCCAGGCCATCATCCTGGCAGTCAAATGCAGGTCTAAGGGAAAGGAGAGCCTGAGTAGCTCCTAGGAGGAGGTGACAGCCAGCAGTGCTGGCCCCCAGGCCCCCTGCTCCTCCCAGGGTTGAGCTTAGCCCTGCAGCAGCAGAGCAACAGAGGTGGGAGGTGGCAGCAGGGAACCTCACTGCTGCAAGTTGAAACAGGACTCCCCACCTCCCCTCTCAGCAACTAGGCTTTAAATAGGATTAATGAGCGAGAACATTCTAAACACTGCTCTGAGAGGTTCCAGAACAAGCAGCCGGCTACTTCCTTCCAAGCTGCCATTTTGGATGAGTTCCCCTGGCTGTTTCCCTCTAACTTCTACTTAAGGCTTTTGCACTCCGCTTGGTAGCCCGCTCTGCTCTAAATTTAACCTTGGGATTTCAAGGACAAAATGAAGTCCTATTGTCCCGCCAAGAGCCTGCTTTGACCTCTATGAATGCCAGCTTCTTTCATTTAGATGAATTATCTCCTTTGATCAAATCCAGAGAGCTTGGGGAGGGGTGGAATGGAGCTGGGAAGGCGGCAACACTGAGCTGTCAGAATCTTGCACACCTTGGTGGGAAGTGCTTGATTTTATAGCAATCACCGCTCCTTAGAATTGTGGTGGGTGCTGTTTTAGTCCACCCTATTTTTTTCCTCTGTCCAATCCCCTGGAATGATATCATTAATATCATTCAAGAAGTCAAGAGACAGAGCATTAAGAGGCAGGAGACTGGGCCACAGTTGTACAGCTGCTACATACATACAGAGTAGAATTCAAATCTATGTCTCACACTCCAGGTCTGCAGGCTCAAAGTATGGTGCTTTTTCTGTTACATCATGCTGGTGGGCTTTAGGCCAAATCTTGAGGTCATTTCTAATAGGGTTCTGATTTGGAAAAGTGGGTGGCAGAGATGAGTCTCACTATGCAGTTCAGGCTGGCCTTGAATTTGCAGCGATTCTCCTGCCTCAACCTCCTGAGGGCTGGGATTAAAGGTGTATGTCACCATGCCCAGCTAACAACTAACATTTAGAAAAGGTTTTTCAGGCTTGTTGTGGTGCTGCATGCCTGTAATCCTAGAACTCAGGAGGCTGAGACAGGAGGATTGCTGTGAGTTCAAGGCCAACCTGGGCTACACAGTGAGTTCAAGGCCAGACTAAACTGCAGAGCAAGACCCTATGTCAAAAAAAAAAAAAAGAAAGAAAGAAAGAAAGAAAGGGAGAGTGAGAGAGAGAGAGAGAGAGAGATTGAGAGAGGGAGGGAGGTTTTCTATCTGCTGTTTGGCACTGTTTAGCCCTTTACACCATCACACCATTTGACCAGCACAGAGTACTGAGGCAGGTATAGTTATTTCTCCAATCCACAGGAAATGGTTCCAAGATTCCAGGATAACCAAATCCATAGATGTTCAAGTCCATCACATAAAATGGCATAATATTTGGATATAGCTTTGGCACATCCTTCTGTAGACTTTAAACCTTCTCTAGATGACTTACACACCTAGTACAATGTACAGGCTATGGAAATAGTTTTCATACATTATTGTTTAGGAAATAATAGCAGGAAAACATAATCAGTACATGTACAATACAGATATATATTTTTTTCAATGCTGAGGCTCAAATCTAGGGACTTACAATTGCTAGGCAAGTGCAGTATCACTGAGATATACCCCAAGCCCATAACTTTTTAAAATATTTTCAATCCAGGGATTGAAGCTGCAGGTACCCAAGAACAACAGTATTATCACTAGCAAGCCTCAAGCAAACTGATGCTACTTCACAATTTTGTCTCCACTGAACCTTGAAGGCAAAATCAGTCAACCTTAACCAAGAGCCTCTCCTGGACAGACTACTCAACCTGGCTGCCACACTTGCCTCTTCAGAGTCTTTTCTCTTAAAATTGCTGGGAAAATGTTGAGAACAACCTCAGGCATTGACCTGTCACTCGAACACTGCCTCCTTCTGCTCCTCCCTGATTTTGCAGGCCATCATTTGAGTCCATGTGGTGGAGATGACAGTTCAGGTTGGGAACCCAAGTGAAATATATAATTACCAAATGGAGACTTGGGGATGCTGAGTAGACAGAGTGCAGTTAACACCAGAAGGCTGCAGAGAAGATTGGAGAGAGGCCGAGGAGTGCAAATCTGGGAATCTGGAGGGCTCAGTTAGCAAACTGTGCAGGCCAGCAGGAGCCCCAGCCATGGCAATCCCTCCTCCCAAGTGCCAGCCCCTGACCTACAACCCTCAGGAAACAATATCACCTCTCCACCTAGGACTCCAGGAGCAGCTCCCGAGACACCAGGCCTGAGTAAATGAGTAAATTAAATTGCAGCACACAGGGTCTCCAAAGCCTCTGCTATTTTTCTCTGCCACCCAGGGGAGGAAATGAATGTGCCACATTCCCCATAGGGGAGCCAAGTGGTTTCCCAGAAGCCATGGTCTCATATGGTCTATTTGTTTAAAGGAGTTTAGGGCTTCGAGCAAATGCAAGCATAACAGGGCCCATTTGCAAAGGGTCATGCCAACTGCTTTGTATGCCTGCCTTTCCCCAGCCCTGGGGAGAAATTAGCCTGAAGTCAATTAGTCCATTAGTCACCAACCATGTGCTCAAGAGCAGGCTGAGTGTTTTTAAGGATACAGAAAAATAAGAGATGGTCTTTGCCCTAATTTATCATTAAATGTTTGTTGAGCGCCTGCCATGTGCTGAATATTGAGCTATTAATCTACAGCAAAGTAAGATTTGTCCACCTGAAATAATTGTACACAAGCTACATGTTGCACAAGAAAGGAATGGAGAACAGTACAGGGGTGTGCTATTCAATAGGACATCAGTGGAGTGCGGTAGGACATAAAGGAGGGCCAGCCAGGGCTTGGAGAAAGTCTTACAAGACAATTCTGAAGTTCTGGCTTGAAGGAGGGTGAGGGTATGAATGAGGAAGTGGCCTCGGTGGGCCTGGGAAGACAGTGGGGTGCTCGGGGCTGACCGTGACCGGAAGAGACCCATCCTGGGCAAGTGGGAAGTGTTTGAGAGTTGAGAAGCAGTGTAAATGCGGTGGTAGAGAGGGAAGCTATTTTGTATTTGTGCTTCCAGTGGCTCTGGAAGACTCTCATTTATAGTGTGGGTAGAGTAGATGGGAGTCGATTCAGGAGAGATTGGCTAGAGGGAGAGAGAGCAAAGGGTCAGGTGGGCCTGAATTTCCACCTCTGCTTACTAAGGGTGGGAATGAGGGCAAATTATTTAGCCATGCTAAACTGTAACGTCTATGATTGTTAAATAAGATACTGTGGGTAGTGTTCATCAGAAATGGGTGACGGTTAGTTCTCTCCAGGGTGTTCCTCCTCCTCCTCCTTTCCCCACTTTCTTCTTTGTGTGTGTGTGTGTGTGTGTGTGTTGTCAGAGTACTGAGGATTGAGACCAGGGCCATTAAACTAAGCTACATCCTCAGGTCTTTTTTCATGTTTTATATTTTAAATCAGGGTCTCACTAAGCCACTAATTTGCTTGGGCTAGGCTGGAACTTGCAATCATCCTCCCTCAGCCTCCAGAGCACTGGGACATAGGCGTTTGCCACTACCCCAGCTCCAGGACTTGCCCCTTCTTGCATTCACAGGTGAGATGCACAGGTGCATCCCAACATCTGTTCTACCCCCAAGCAACTGCACAAACCAAGGAAGGTGATTTCATCGAATCTGCCGATGGCTGCTGGATGACATGGCCGGGCCTACTCCGTGTTAGTTCAAGGCCTTCCAGGAAAGGTTTTCTGCTGTGAGGAAGGAAATGCAGAAAGAACCTTTATTCCTCAGTCCACTGCTGGTTCTGGGTGTGACATCTGGACTGATAGCTCCAATTTGTTATCATGAAGCAACCATCCTGAGGCCAAATCTTGTGCTCCCAGGAAGGCTGAACAGAGAGAAAGAAAGACCCTAGGGCTGGGGATTTAGCTCAGTGGTTCCACTGCCTACCTCACAAGCACAAGGTCCTGAGTTCAATCCCTGTACCAAAAAAAAAGAAGAAAGACCCAAGCCCCATGCTCTTGTGAAGCCAAGGTACGAGCACCCTTGGGAGCTGATCTCTGAAGTTCTTAACTCTGCAGATCTGTTTTGCCATAGTTTAAGCCAGTTTGAGCTGGCCTTTCTGTTACTTATAAATGAAGCAGCCTCATGATTCACAGTTTTAGGGCAGCCTGTCAAAACCACAAAAGAGATGCACTTGAGAACAGATACTAGGCTTGGACCTTTCTAAGATTGGATGTTGAATTAGAAATGGTCTTTTATAGCCATTACAAAAGGGGGTGGGGGTTTCAATCCCAAACACTTCCTAAATATTTCTCTTTAGTCTAGTTCAAAACTACTTTAGTTCAAGACTCCAGGAGTATCTCAGGAGTCTTGGGGAAAAGCCTGTCCACGCTAGGAGTCTGTGACGGCCATTTGAGCCCTGGTACTGCATTGGACAAATCGGCTGGGTCACTATACTCTGCCTGCTGCGGCCAGGGGTACCAAATTCAACCACAGTCACACACTGCATCAGCTACAAGGCTTTGGAGGACAAAACAAAACCTTGGGACATGTGCCATTAAACTCTGGTGTATCCCAGCTCCAGTGAAGCTGCCCCCCGACCCCCACCAATGCTTTGTATGTACTGGAGATTGAACCCAGGGCCTTTGCACTGAGCTTCATTCCCAGTTCCTTTCCTGTTTCTTTATTTTGACAGGGATCTCACTAAATTGCTAAGTTGCCCCGGCTGGGCTGGAACTTTTGATCCTCTTGCCCCCGTATCCCAGAGTGCTGGGAGCAAAGGCATGTGCACCACTTCCACTCTGAGCCAGTGCTCATCTTGCTCTGTGGCAGGCCTTCCTGCACTGGAAGAGTAAGGTGGACATATTTCCTAAGGTGGGGTGAGCATCAAAGCGGAGCGGAGTCATCATGGGATAGAAATTCTGATGTTAGCAAGTTCTCCCAGGACCTAAGAGTGCTTCTTCCTTCTAGGGCTTCTCTAGCCTGGATTCCAGTTAAGTTCCTAGAATGAATTTACTGATAATAAGGCTAGTGATGATGCAAAGCAATTCCTTGAAGTCAGGCAATACTTTCTAGGAAATTAGAAGTACTGTTTGCATTTATCTCCTTTATCCTCAGAATGCTGGGAGAAGGCAGGGAAGAGGTGTTTCTCCCACTCAAAGCAGAGTTTACCAAAGCTCACAGACAGGAGGTGTGAGGTGCCCCAGCACTTACAGGTCTGAAAATTAAATTCTGGTTAAAGAGCTGCACAGCCAGGACAAATCCTAGGGAACTGTTTTGTTGTTGTTGTTGTTGCTGCTGTTTTTGTGGGTCTGTGTGCTGGGGACTGAATCCAGAGCCTTCTCATTGAGCTACATACCCAACTCTTTTTAAAATTTTTATTTTGACACAGGATCTGAATAATTTGTTAAGTTGCCCAGGCTGAAGCAAATAAATAAGGACTCAGGATGTAGCTCAGTGAGAAGACGGTGGGTTGGATTCCCAGTTACACACACACACACAAAGTGACACTTTCTATTTTTCATACCACCTTCAGCTTAATTCTTTTCCTTACCCACCACTGCCACAAGATACATCGTGTAAATATTACTAGGCCTCTTTTACTGAGGAGCCTTCATCCTAGGGATGAAGGAGATTACGAGCCAGAGCAGTAGGCAATGCAACTCCAGTGATGACTAGATGAGGCGGGTCAGGGATTGTTGCAAGAATACACTTTCTAGACCTGAGTCAGGCAACGGAGAGCCTGAAGGATGCAGAGACCCACATGGGACACCTTCTCAGGAGCCAGATGCCCAGAAAGGGCAGCACACTTTCATAGACCGCAAAGGGGAGGGGCTATGTTGAGAGTTCACCAGTGCGTGTGTGTGTGTGTGTGTGTGTGTGTGTGTGTGTTAAGGGGAGGACTAGACATGCACTCATTGCAGTACCATATTCCACTGCTGAATCCGGCGGTATTTATGGCTTTGTCCTGCTGGAGATCACATTCCTGGGGCCTTTCTGCTCACACACACGTGTCCCCACACGTACACATGATCACAATACACAAGAGCCATACTATGAGTCACAGGCCTCCTCCTTTCATTGTGCATCCTCACTCCCATCCCCAATCTCAATGCACCCCACTTTGGCCCTGAAGCATCCCTTCTCTAGGGTGTTTCTGTTATCTCTAGTATATCCCAGGTCTGCCTTGCACGCACACACCAGCACACTGCCCACACCAGCACACTGCCCACACCAGCTTGACTCAGTCACTCGAATGCTTCAGCTCATGCCCAGTCTCCTACCAGAGCACCTCTGACAGGCATGTCACCCAGCAGGAGGGCCTTGAAGAGCAGCTCATCCTAGCCACTCCTTCTGCAGATGAGGAAACTGAGGCCTTGCCAGGGATATGACTTGTCCAAAACATCTAAATAAACAACCAGTGATAGGGTCAGAACCAGGAGAAGACACCCAGGATCCTTTGCCTGGTTCCATGAAATTCCACATCAAAAGGCACAAAAAGGAGTTTGACTGAAGTCTGGGGCCCACCGATCCTCTACTGTACTGTTACCTTGGTGTGCCAGAATGTTGGATCTGTGTCCACTCATTCAGCAAAAATTCCTGAGACACTCACGTCACTGTGAGGAAGCACACCCAGCCCGTGTCGGTGATCAGGACACAAGGACATCTGGGGCTTTCCAGAAAGGAGGTATTCTGCCAAGGATGATCAGAGAAGGTGTGTGGAGATTGTACTTTAGGCCTCAGACTTTGGGAGGTAGTTACCAGAGCAGGGGGAAATCTCTTCAGGTGCAGGTGAGGAAGTGCTGTCCTGCAGCGAAGGCTGAGTACTCTGCAGCTGACATGGAAACTGTAGGGCTGTAATTGCTACCATGTGTAGGTGCTTAGCATAAGCCAGGGATTCTCACAACAAATCCATAATCTAGGAATTCATTCATTTAACAAAAAATGTATGGAGGTCTACTATATGTGCAAGTCCCAGGTGATGGGGAGACATCTATGAACAAAACAGACCAAGTCTTCCTACGTGAACAGAGGAGAACAAATCCCTGCCCCCGAGGAGTTTATGTTCTGGGAAGTGTCACCTTGATTCACAAATGAAAAACCTGGGGTACGGGAGATTAAAGCACTGCCTTCAATAATGAGTATCAAGTTCCTGAGAGGATAAGCAAGAGAATCACAAGCTCGAGCCCACCTTTAGTGCTCAGGGAGACCCTGTCTCAAAATTAAAAAAAAAAAAATTAAAAAGGGCTGAGGATATAACTCAGTATTAAGGCCCTGAGTTCAATTCCCAGTACCAAAAAATAAATAAATAATGAAAACAAAAAGCAAAGTCTACCTGTGTTTTTAAACCCTTTGCTGCACTGCCTTCCAGGAGGCCTGGAACTGAAGGTTCGGGGTCCGGTCCAGAAGGCAGCAAGGATCTCCTGTGGGGGTTTGAGAGGGAAGTGGCAGAAACAAAATGACTTCACCCTCTGACCCGTCTTTCCCCATTCTATCTATTCCCTCCCTTTCTCTTCCGTTTCCATAACCGCAACCCTGATGTGGAGCTGCCACCTCCTTAACCCTTGGTTTTGGTGGATTAGCCTCAGCTCTGGGCTCAGCCCCGGCAGCACCTGACCCCCCCCATCCCACCCGCTGTTCACTAACCCTTTGTCCGCAGGCCCCAACCTGTAAGCTCCCTCCTGGCCCCACTGCTAGACATTAAGTGATGGTGAAAGAGAAAATGAGGTTGGAAGCTTGGGTGGGATGTACAGCTATACAGGAAGTAGGCCCTCGCCCTCACCTGAAACTCTGCCCCTGTGACAGAGGTGGAAAAGTTGATTTGAAACCGGGGACAGGAGTGCCGGGGTCCCCGACGTGGGGAAGAAACCCCCCACCTAGGTCCTAGACCCGAGAAGCCCAGCCTTTCCGAGCGAGCGCAGGGGGTGGGGAGATGGAATCTATCGGGAAAAAGAAACTGGTGAGCTAGAGAAAGGGGTATCAAGAAGGGGGTCGCAGAGAAAGGGGAGCAGGAGAGGAAACGCGGAAGGAGCAAGAAGGGAGTGCAGGTAAGGAAAGAGGAAAGAGCACGACAGGCAAAGTCAGACCAGGGCGAGACAGACTCAGCACGCAGGGCCGCCGGGCGGGGTCTGAGCGAAGCCAGCGTGGAGAGATGGGGCAGCCGGGCAGCCGGGCAGCCGGGCCGCTGGGCCGGAGCGCTCGTGGGCGGGGAGGTCCACTGGGCCACAGCTGTCAGCCGGGAACAAAGGCCGCGCAGCGCCAGGGACCTGGCTGCCGGCAGCGCCGGCCAATGAGCGGCGCCGGTCCTGGCCCCGCCCCTCCCCGCCCCGCCCCGCCCCGCCCGCGGCTTTGGACCCAGAGCAGAGGCCGGCGAGCTGCGAACTGGCGGGCTGCGGGTGGCTGCGGACCGCACCGCGGGGAGGCGGAAAGTTTCTCCGCCCGCCTCGTCCTGCGAGCCGGCGTCGCCCGCTGCGGGCCCTGCCCGGCCGAGCAGTTCCGCAAAAAGAGAGGATCGCACAGCAAAATACAGTGGAAACAAAACCCCAAGCCAGCCGCGAGGCGCAGGGGGCAGGTAAGGTGCGGTGGCCGGGGTCCGCGCGCTCGGGGAGCTGCACCCGCTCCCGCCCGCCTCTTCGGGCGTGCGTCCAAGCGTCCGTCCGTCCTTCCGTCTTTGTCTGTCGGGGTCCGCGTCTGTCCGGGTGTCTTTGTCTCTGCGTGTGGCTGTCAGGGTCTAACCCTCTGCTGCCACCGTGGGTGCCGCCGACCTGGCCCGAGCCCGGAGGGGAGGATGGTGCGTCAGTCAGTCCTTCTGCCTTTGTCTCCGTCTCGGGCAGACACGGTTATCCACTCCCAGCCCCGAGTCTGATCTCCAGGACCTGAGTGTTGAGTGACATTGGTGTCGGAGGTGAGGAAGCAGGGGTGGAGTGGGGTGGGGAGTGAGGCTACAGGGCCCCGGGAGAGGAGCTCTGTCGGGCAGTTGGGGAGCGGCCACTCAACTCCGTCGTCCGGAACTTTGGAAATGGGCTGTGACCGCGCGGGTGGCTTGGACACAGTTAGAGGGTTGGCATTCTTTCCTGAAGGAGTAAGTCACATGGAGATGAGGTCGTCAGAAAGGAAGAAGAGGAGCCAGGGTGTCTTACGGGAGGGCCTCCCGGAGCTGTAGGTCTCCCAGGGTCGGCCCTGGCAGTGTCTCAGGAACTCCTTTCCCTCCTCGCCAGAGGCGCTCAGCCCCTCACCCCCTGGCTTAACTCCCTGCAGCAAAACTGGGCAGCAACAGGCACTGACACCGCAAGGGCCGGGGATGTTTCTCTTTCCTGCTCCAAGTGGAAAGGCTTGAACTGTGGAGCGAGCACAGGAGCGTTCCGCTCGCCCACGAGGGTGAGGCCTTGGGAAAGTGCTGCAGACAGACTTGATGGCTTCAGACTCCCGAGTCTCCCAGGATTAAGGGATGCATAGAGATTGGAGCACCTACCCACTCTCCTCTCAGCCCCTCGCTCGCTCTGGTCTCCCAGGGCTGGCAAGCTAGTGGGAAAGCACAGAGTTCTGGACAGTGGGCTGCTCTCGATAGGGTCCCCTCTACTGAAAGTGCAGCCTCCTAATTGCGGGCGCCTCCAGAGGAGCTCTGCTATGGAGATGAGCTGCCTGCTTGGCAGTCCTTCCTGTGCTTTGGGTAGGAGCTACACAGGGTTTGTAACCTGAGCTTCCTCTAAGTTCAAAAACAATTTTCTTCAGGCAGGAGGAGGGAACATGGAGGTGTTTGTAGGACGTGTCCCTAAGAGAATTAGAGCTAGCGTTTACAGTGTTTGTGTTCGAGCCTGGAGAATCATCTGTGGGCAGGAGTCTGTGGGCAGAGCATCCCCACTAATCCGGTGTGGCCCTGCACCTTGTATTTATCCAGCACCTTTCTTCTGAGGCGGTTTCTACACATCATAGACATTATCTCATTTGTTATCTCCTTTGTCCTCACAACATAACTACCAGGTTGGCATGAGACCATTTACTCTCTGTCTGCCAGTGAAGGAACCGAGACAGCAGAAGGGAAGGGTGTTCCCAGGGCTAATGGGAGTGAAATCAGGCTGCAGGAGTCCCAGAAAGAGGGCTCAGCCGAATACAAAGGAGTGTGAAGTGCTTACCCTGCTGGAGGTGAGAAAAAAAAAAAAAAACAGTAGGAAAAGAAGGAAGGAGCCTGTGTGCCAGCAAGGGGGAGACCAGATGTCTGCTCTGGATGCAGGTGGTTAGTTAGCATTTACAGCAGTCACTATGCACTTGGTGAAGTTAAGCAGCTGTAACACTTGAGGGTGTGCGTTTGTGTGTCTGTAGGTGGTGCCCTGTCTGACTGTGTGGCTGTCTGTCTATGTGTAGATGGTAGCAGGGGCTGCCATCCGAGGAGGGTGCTGAATGGCGTGTTTCTGGAGAGTGCTGGTGCTTTTCAGGTGAGTGAGGACCAGATTCACCATTTACTGTTCGGAAGCCAAGGGTCTGCATGTGTGGATGAAGAGACAGGTGGGCTCCAGCAGTTTGCAAATGGCTCTCTAATCCTGAGAACTTATTGATAGGCCTTTGGGCTTATTCAACATTCATTTAATCCGTTTTCATTGGTGCCTGCAAATCAAAAGGCTCTGGGCTAAGCAATGAGGCTACAAGGATGACTAAGGTGATGATGAAAAACCTGTGGTTAAGCAGCATATAGACTAGTGTCATGGATAATATTGTAATGAGATTTAATACCAGCCAGTAAGTACACTGAGTGCCCAGTACTTTTATTCATTATCTCCTCTAATTCTCACTTCAGCCCTGCAGGGCATCTATGATCATCAAAGAGAATTAAATAACTTAGCTAGGCTGGATGATGAAGGGGTGGGGATTTGAACTCAGGGCAGTAAGACTTCAGACCCTGGCTCCTTCCAGATTCTCCTGCTGCCTCTGAACAAAGAAACACATTCTTCCTTCTGTGTAGAATATTCTTGCCCGGCCCCTTGACCCTCTCCCCTTAAGCAGCTCCCACATGCACTTTTGGTTTTAACTATGAGGATCAACTCCTCCAAGAAAGTTTCCTCCATCCTTTCCTTAGTTTTAGGGACCTTCCTCTGAGTTCCTACCAGCATTCTCCCATGTCACTGGCTTCTCGTGAACTGCAGAGGTGGGGCGATGCCAGAAATTCCCAGCTCAGAATACAGAGTCTGGCTACCCCAAGCAGGGCCCAAGTGAGTACTTGTTTAAAAAAGCGATGGGAAAGAGGAGAGGGCTGTACCAGAGCCTTGGCAGCCAGCACTGTTCCCAGGGTCACTTCTGTCTGGTCACACATTGCTGGTGTGGCCTCTCACTTCCTGTCCTCTGTCCGAGGGCCTCTGCCTAGACAGGGCTGCTCTAGGCCCAGCCCTTCCCCCAACAGTTCTGGAGCAGGAGGGAACCTAGCCCCTACCCTCCCTCTGCAGTCTGTGCACTAGAAGTACACTTACAGAAGGGGAAGGTGCTAGACATGATTTATACCTGGGGTTTTTAATTGTGTACTCAGGACCTCAAGGGCAGATGGTTCCAGGGTAATGATGAGGTGTTTCTGGGGTTTTGCCAACAAAGAAGTATCCAAGTGCTTGAGGGACTTGGATAGGGATTTTCATCTTTGCTCTTTGAGGTTGCTCTTGAATGGGCCTTTATGCACTGCAGTAGAGCATGAATTGCTGCCGTGTTAGAGGAAGTAATCTGGCCATGATCCCTCCGCAGCCACACACTCTGGTGGATCTCTTCATGTGTCTTTGCCTCATCTCACCATTTCCCATCCTGCAGTGGCCCCAGGTCCTCTCAGGGGTCAGTGATGAATTTAGCTTTCCTTTCAAAGATCATTATTCAAGTGTGAAAAACTCTGCATTTCACTGCTTATTAAACATCTTCTCTATGTGAGGTGCCAGGGAAATGGGTGATTTTAACAAAAGGCTGAATGATACTTTGAAGCTAAAATTTGTGATGCTAATTAGAAAAAAGAACCTGCACACATGAATCAGTGACAAGTCCCTTGTCGCACTAACTTTGGATGAGGCAGCCACCCAGCAGGAGGGAGGTTGAACTGGAGACACTGGAAGGAGGTCGTGGATTGGTTGTGGGTTGAACCTGCAAGTCGAACCTAAGGAGAGTAGGGAGTGGGTGGAGCAAACACCGAGGTCTAGACCAAAGATGCAAAGTGCGAGCTGAGGGAATTCTCCACCTAGGGGATCTCCAGGGAGAGTCTGTCACCTCCCTTCACAAGAGCTGGTGAATGACAAGTGGGAGGTAACTCACCACTATGCCGCCCAGCCCATGTGCCGATTGCCCCATAAAGCTTCCCCTCCAAAAGGATCAAGAGTGGGTAGAGACATGGTAGCTGAGCTCAAGCCTGGCCAGGCTGGCCTCACAGGCCATTTGCCAAAGTCACTTCTGTGTTACTGCCTGGAATGATGCTTTTGTGTGTATGTGGTACAGGTGGTTGAACCCAGGGCATTTCATGCTAACTTACATTCCTCAGCATATTTTTTTATTTGGGGACACAGTATTATTAAGCCACTAAGTTGACGGGCTGGGCTGAAGCTTGTGACCTTCTTGACTCACCCTTGCAGAATGCTGGGATTATAGGTATGTACCACCAGGCTGGCTGGAATGATGTTTTTAAGGGCCCTTTTCATTTGCACAGGACTTTACACATTAAAAAGGATATATCGTCATTATTAATATCTCACAGAGACTTGAGAAGACTCCATTTGGCAGATAAACCCATCAGAGGTGAAGGCGTTTACCAAGTCGTCATAGGAACGCTAAGACTTAAATCCAGTTGTCCTGACACCCAGTCACACTACGTCCACCAAGCCTTACTGATTCTTTTCCATTTGGGGGGTGTTGGTGCTGGAGATTGAACCCAGGTCTTGGAATATGCTAAGAATGTGCCCTACCACTGAGCTACATCTCCTGCTCTGTGCCTTATAAATTAAACAGGCTGTGTTCACTGAGTTGCTAATTATTTAAAAGGAAGAGTTTTTTAAAAAAATTATAAGAACTCAGTTACTTTCATAATTACTGTAATTCAAGCATATGGGGACATGATAATTTTCTTCACTTTTTCTGTGCCTCATACATATGTATTATATATGTAGGGCAGTGGTACGTGGGGTTTGCTTTAAGGAATGAGATTGGACATATGTCAGTTCTTTCTCTAGAGTTAGTCAATTCATAAGGTTTATTAGTCCACTCCAGATAAAAATTAGAGCAGATTTTCTCTCCATAGAATCTGAATTAATCACATACTGAACAAACTTGCTTCTATAATCTATTTCTCTTGCTCCATAAACAGCCCAGTGCCAAACTAAAACTGCACAGCCCACTCTTGGTGTGAACCTTAAGCCCTGCACGGAACCTGAGTTCAGGCCAGGCTCCCCCAGAGGAGGACAGGCCTGGGTAGCCTTGAGGGAAGGAGGACAAAGCAGGTAGCAAAGGGAGAGGGAGGAGGTCACAGGGAACAGAGGGAAAGCACGTGTTAGCCGACAGCTAGAGCTAATTGTTCCCATCAGTCCAGCACAAGGGCATGTTTTTTTGTTGTTTTTTTTACTA